TACCTCAACTCTCATATTGCTGGTTAACCACTTTACTTTTTTTATGAGATCTTTGTAGCCCCAAATGGTGGTATTCAAGTTTAGGAGCCACCTGGTTACCACCTGAGAGTCCCCTTCAACTAGGAGATGCTCCACCCCAAGCTGGTTGGCGATCTGAATTCCTTGTACTGCAACAAGTATTTCTGCCCTTGTGGAATCTCCCACTCCCACCGGTCCTGAGAATAGGGAAATTATGTTGCTGTCCTTATTTCTCAGGATGTCCCCTATACCTGAAGGCCCGGGATTGCCTTGGCTGCTTCCATCAAAGTTCAGCTTAATGACACCTTCCAAAGGCGGAACCCACTCTGACAGAATTCTATCCTTCTTTGTTGAAGTGTTGGCTATTACTAGCCAATTTCTCCACAAATCATCAAAGGAGAAGTCATCAAAGATATCCACAGTTTTYAGCCAAWGGATTGCTCTTGTTAGGATACAATCCTTCATTTCATCTAACCCTCTTTCCTTCTCTAAAAAAAATCTTGCATTCCTTTCCTCCCAAAGAGTCCACAGAGTGGCTGCCCTGACACATCTCCACATGACCTTACCTCTTCTAGTGTGCCAAACAAAGACAGATGGGTTGAATAACAACCTTAATCAGAAGGCAGAGACCACCTACCTCCAAATAGACAAAGGTTCCACTTCCATATAGCTGTAGCAAAGGAACATGAGATAAGCAAATGGACACAGTCCTCATTCTCGACCTTACAGAAGGAACACCAATTTGGGGAAAGACAAAGCGAGGGTCTCTTTTTCTGTAAGTTTTCCAAAGTATTGGTCTTCCTAGTAGAATACAACAATTTTTTGGGGAATAGGTCGCGCCTAGACTTCTTTGACAGGGAATCCTTGGGAAGAGGGGTTAGAACTGAGGGATTTTAGAAAAGAAGAGCAAGTAAAAGTATCTTTTGGAAGAGGAGACCAAATCCGTTGATCAGAAGAATTGGGGTCCAAGCAAATGGATTCTAGTAAATGAATTAGCTCAATAACACAATTCGACTCACCATCCCTTAACCCTCTACGAAATCCAAAGTCCCAGTTTAAAGATAAGGGGTTTAACGGGCTCGGGAGAAAAGTTGCAATTGGCTCATGTTTGTAAAGGGAAAAG